TGTTTCCCATGGCTAGGTTTTACGGGAAGAGGACCATCAACCACTTTCTAATCTCCGAAAAAGATGGGGTTTGGACTAGGATACTGGCAGGGCATTCACACCTGACAGAAGAGCGACTCGGGTCCTCAGCTAAAGCCTTCCATTAAATGTACATGCCACAATGCGTCCAGGATATGAGCCCATGGCATAGCAGTGGCAGAAGGGGGTAGATCATTTGTCAGGATCTAGCCACCGGAAGCGTCAGCGCACAATAGGCTCTCGGTGTAAACCTCAGTAAACACTGATCTACAGGTTGTGCACAAAACGCTGTCAACCAGATAAGCAATTTGTTTTAACTTAAAGAGACAAAGAAGAGAATCAAGCACTCAACCCAACACCTGTGTGCTCAGTGCGATTGGTCGATGGGGGGGGCATGGAAGCCAGGAGATGAAAGCGGAGCGGGAATAAAAGTAAGCAATGTGATACATAACTAATGTGTAGCTTTGGGATCCCTCGATCCTAGCTAAGACTGGCATGTCAGAACTTATTAACCTTACTGCAAGTCGGCGTCCTATCGACTGATGTTTGCTGCCAATCGGAAACCTGTCAGCAAGACTCCAACTCTGCTCTCACTCCAAGACTGCCTTCGTATGACACTGAGGATACTTCCACACCGCGTCGAAAGGAGGCTGAGCCTTAACGTACTGCGAAGGTTTGCGTAGCTAGGCGACCCAACTACCTATACTGGGTGGTGCCCCCGCTCTTCATAAGAGTTGCTCCTACTAAACTCGCCAATGGTAAGGTCAGTCGAACTCAGTCTCCTGGTCCTCAGGTTAGGGATTTGAAGTGAGATGGCTTCAGCCTAAGTAAAACCAAAACATGGACACCTCACCGCTGCCTCTGGAAAGGCCTTTGAGCCAAAGGCTTTGGATGAGGACCATAATGGACCTTCTGTCTAAGTCTAAGCGCTCTGGTAATATCTCACCCGCGTACAGCCATGACTATTTCCTCAAATTCTAACCCCATCTAACATCAGCCGTCGCGTAAATTATCAAGGGTTGCCTTATCTGTTGCATACAACAGGGCGAATAATCGAAAACATGTTACTGCTGGCGCCTCCCTTCTTTCTTTTCCACCTGTCTCTCTTACTCCCCTCCCAACCCCCAGTACTATCTTTCTGTAATTCCTAGTTTGACTGAAAGCAGCCGCAATGTCATTGGAGACATATCATCTGCATCTACCTTCCCGTGCCACCCAGGGGACACAAATTGCTGACAGCTCCTTATAAGGCCACACTGTCCAGTTTACATGGCAGCGTTCAAGGTTCGCACTCTAAGACAAATAGGTCAACAGGCTGCGCTCGCACGCATGTTGGACGCGCCGGGTATTGACAGATGTTAGGTGTCTGAAACTAAGACTAATGACCCCCACTAGGTTGTTGAATTAACCGCGCCCGGCTTGTCCTCTTGCCATTGGCTACACAAAGCCGGAGATGTTGATGCGATAGTTACTGGTCAACCTGGAGTGGTCATCGTCCGCAGCCCCAAGGCCGAGTTACCGTTGGTTGATTGGATTCCGGTGAACAGCCGTTTGTGTGCAGCCCGTTTGACTAAGCTAGCTAAGGTGGATCCATGAAGTAGTACAAAACGCTGTTTGTTTGTGATTTCCGCTTATACTCCCAGCGACTGCAGTTATGATGGTACGAAGGACACATTCTGTCACGAACTGAACGCGCTACTATGCAGTGCTACTAGGTCAGATACTTTATTACTTGCAGGGGATATGTACGCAAATGTAGGATGTCTGAGCTCTTCAGAAGCTCAGCTAGGTGGTAATTATGGGATTAACTTCGAATGGACGTACAGCGACGAGCGTCTGTTGCAACCGTGTACGGAGCACCAGTTGTTTTTTTTAACAGCACCGCTCTTAGACACACAGGACACCATAGTGTTACTTGTCGTCCTCCTACAGGTGGCCAACCATGCACCCAAATAGACCACATTACCATAAATAGAGGTGTTGTGGTTCCATCCTTAATTGCCGCTCGTTCTGGAATACTTGCGTCGATTCTGACAATGCGTTCGTAGGCCATCGATTTTCCATGCACTTTAAAGGAAGGCGTCCGAAGAGTCTTCGTCGATTGGCAACTGACAAGTTATCCAAGCCTACCAAAATGCTCTGTGCAACGAACCTCCGTACTCTCGTTCTAATGACACTGAGATTCAGTTGAATAGGATCGTTGCCGTCACACACGATACAGGAGCATCTGCTTGCGGTCCCAACAATCGTCACCGCAGCAGTCACTGGATATTCGAGAGGTCGGAAAACTTGCTAGAATGCAGAAAACTCCCAGGTGGCTCTGAACATAATGTTACCAGACGGACCATTAGGCGCAAATTAAAGAGAAGCTCGCGTGCTGACAAAGAAGCCTGGTGAATCAGTAGAGCTGAAGAAATGGAGGAAGCGGGGACAATAGGCAATTATTAGAGGCTCTTCCAAGTGATCCGAATCCCTGGTTCAAGGGAACCAAGCGTTAATGTGATAATCAGAAACACCGCGTGAGCGCTTTCGAGATAAGTTCAGCTAGCCTCCTGCTTTCGGGTCGCTTCCTACTCAGGTTATGCATGCTACGCAATAAACGGTGAGTTTAGTCTCCATCAGAGGCTGAGGACCGAAACTCGATCCCAGCCCTCAATCGTTTTCGTGCTGCTGGTTAGGATTCACTCCCACCTGCGCCATTTAAGTATGGAGGTGAGGTCCTCTACAAAGCACTGACCTCCTTATTTGAACGTATCTGGAAGGAAGAGAGTGTCCCTGCTAAGTGGAAAGAGCCGAGTATAATGGCAATATACAAGATGAGCAGTCGCACCGACTGTACTAACCACAGGGGTATTAGCCTGACGCCGGTGGTGAGAAAATTACTGACCGTAGTGTTTGTTTGTCGCCCAACTGCGGAACGGGAATCCTGGATTAGGGAAGAACAAGCGGGCTTCCGCCCAGGGAGGTGCTGTATAGATCACATATTCATTTCGCGGCAGGTGCTAGAGCAGCTCCACGCATACCGCAGACCGACAATAGGTGTGTCCTTGGATTTAGTGCGTTCTACTCATTCGATCGATCCATTCTGTCCGAAATACTTGCGTGGAAAGGTGTTCTCATGAAATGTGTGAAATTTTATGTGCCATGTACTTGAACACCACAAGCCGTGTCAGGGTCTATGGTGAATTATCAGATATATTTCCGATATCCAGTGGCGTTCGTCAGAGTTCCCTAGTTTTGCTCCACTTCGCCGTGGAGTTCATTATGGAGAGCTCCCTTACGGAGCCTCACGATGCAGGCGTTTCATAGTGATTTGTGATAAGCCACGTGATCCCGATTATGTGTACGATATTGTCTTGAGGGTTAAGCGATGTTGCGGCGACTGACCAAACCTAAATACCCTCTCCAGAATGATCCCCACATTTGGCATGCGCCTCGTACCTTAAAAGTGTTCAGTGTTGTAACATGAACATCAGCCAGTCTTGACAGCGAGGTAGTTGATCAATTCACTTACCTTGGCAGCTGCATTATCACGGATAGGTGAATAACTACTGAAGTCGGTTCATCTATACAAAATATAGAACTGCCTTCTTGAATCTGCAACATCTGTGGCTTCAGAAAAAAGTTTTTCTCGGTATTAAAGGCCACGGTGAAGGTCATCCTACTCCATGGGAGTGAGACTTGCCCTCCCAGTTCCGAAGATCAGAGGCGCGTTCAAGTCCTTGATCATCGCTGTTTGCGGACCACTGCTGGTGTCGGGTGGCACCAGCGTGTCCGCAACAATGGGGTTTGTAGGCGAGTGCTATGTAGTGATAACCAGGCTAGTTCCTAAGAGAGATAGCACTGAATAAGTTGCGCTGGCCAGGCTAGGTGCCACGTATGACCGATCACTGCTTGCCGAGGAGGGCCCTGTTTTGTTTGCCAGTTGCAGGGTGGCGCAAGGCTCGAGGTGGGCATAAGTTGACTTGGCAGCGGGAAATAAAGTCACTGTCAACAAAACAGTGCTGTTGGTCCTGCTCGTCTTCCAGGCTGGATTTCACGTGACTCACCTTGTGCTTGGCTCAAAACTCTGCAGGATATGGCCGGCAGTCGACACCAGTGGCGCGTCTCCTGCTGTCCCGTAGTCGGACTGACAGTTTAAAGTGTGTTTGGTGCTGAGTTACCTGCGGGGTAATGGATGACTACGACGCGGGGTAGGGAGAGCCGCAAGCAAGCTGTCTCGCTGATGCCACGTTATCTTTGTACGATAGTCAGCTGTTTGTGACGGGATGTTGTTGACACAATGTGTCGGTGCCTTGATCCTGAATGTTTGGTTAGGGCGTTAAGGTTTCACGCAAGTCCCCTTCTCTCACTCTTATTATTCTTCGATCCGTAGATCAGCACGGTTGTACTGAAGCGACGAATGAGTTCGAATTGCTAGTGTACTGCTGCTGACGATGAAACTGTGATCGGAGTGGTGTATCGCATGGAGCCGGCATAGCAGCGAATCAAATGGGAGCATAACAACCTCGATTATTGGCCGCGCCGAGCTCTGTTGATTGGATGTTGGTCGCCGATTGATGTGTAACCGCTGGAACTGCGTCGTTCAGTGGTTGAACAACATGCATGAGATCGCTGTGTGAACGAGCGATGCTGTATTCTACTGTTATTTGGCTGCCCCTCAATAAACTGTTTCTCCCCGAGAGACAGAGTTCGACGACAAGGTAGAGCAATGGAGAGCCGCTTCTCTGAAATCTGAACAGATGGTGCAGACCGCTTTGGGAAGGATACGTCTACGAGCCAGATACTCAGAACACAAAAAAACAACCTAGCAAATTCTTCCACTCTTCGGACTACTACTACTAACTGCTGAGTCACACAAGCTGAAGGCATCTATCAGTTCAAGATTAAGTGTGAGCAAAGTAGCGAGCCCAAGGAAAACAATGCTTAGTCAGCCAATCCGGTAGGCTATTACGGTAAAGGACAATGCAGTGCATAGCTACCTGAAACCGAACTGAGCAAAGAAGGAAGCAGTCGGCCCGGTCACGATGCGAACATCTTCTATCGTCGGTGGTCCAAAGTAGCCTGGTGGCCACGACTTTTGTGAAGAGGCTCCAGTGGAGTCGTCCGTAACGAAAGGCTGGACATCCTGTAGACTGACGGAAAGAAAATTACGCAAGAAGGCTTGATAGAACTAGTAAACGTGAAAACAGAACAAGTAAACAAAAGCTCAATATTACTTATGAGTAGGAGAATTTTAGCTGGAATTTTACGTATTATTCACCAGAGCAGTACTCTTACGTGGGCCCAAAAGATCTAATCAAATAGTTAACCAAGATAAATACTAACTTTCAGCGGTCTACATGGAGCCATCAAAACTCATGGAAACCATAGGCAGGTAGAGTAGTCGAAAAAGGAAACGGAAGATAATAAAAAGGAACCCATGCTTTCTTCAGAAGGAGCGACACCACTCGGATGACCAGGGAATAGTTGACTGCAATGTATGTAATGAAGTACACTAAGTTTATGGTGGTAATGATAATAACACTAATAATTAGCAACCAAATTTGAAGCAGAACACGTCACCGCACGCACGAGTGGATGGCCAGATCCGAAAGAATAACCTCAGATCGAGTGATAACCTTGTACTGACGTTCGTCAGCCACAGCGGACAGCGATGTGATATGTTTGAGCCACAGCAGCCTGCCGTTCGGTGACCACCATACAACTCGATGCGAACACCTGTGGTGGGAAGGTATGCTGCGAATGTGTAGACTATGCTTAGAGCACGGCTGAAGAAGGCGATCTACATGGACGCCGAAACGGTTGAGGTGGTATTCTGATAATGGACCAAGTTAGGCATTCATGTCGCCTACCTCAGGCCATTTGAGTAAGCGTAGAGACCTGATGATAGAGTTCATCCTTGTCAACGTTCGAGCTGCAGTCAGTGGGAGCGTAAGCGGTAGCAACACATACTTTGAACAAAAAGCTAACCAAGCTTAAAGGTGATTGCAACAGCCGACATGGTAATGTCCTCCGCTCAAGTTTCCGTCGTTTTATTTCTGCCTGATGAGACCAAGTGAGATCGAAACGCAACGCGGTATGAAGTTCTCGGGCGGGTAAGACACAATTTCCATCCGCTTCAGCTACGGCCCTAATGATTGAATGGCCAATGGCTAATGGAAATCACAGGCCACATTGAGATTGCGAGTCCCAATCCAATCACACAACAAGTATCCCGAAATGACCCTCCAATCAGTCGTCAGCCCTTGTGCCAAGCGTTGTCCGTCGTGACCTGGTGGCTAAAGAGGTAGAGGTTCCAAGTAACATCCCAGTGGTCCCGGGTTCGACGCCTGTTCTCACTACCTGATGAGATCAAGCAAGATAGGAACGGGTAGTGGAGTGCAGTGTTTTCGGAAGTGTTTGAGATCCAGTTCCAGTAACCGAACTGACCACTTTCCCTTCGAAGTGAACCGCGGTTCCGATAAAGATTGCGCATCGCAAAGCATTCGCACGCAATGAGTACTTCAAAGTGCCACAACCTAAAAATAATTAATGCTAGTGACAATAGTAATGATAATAATCGAAGGTATAAAAACGCCCAAGATAAGACAGATATTTGACAAGAAAGAATTGAAAAGGTATAATAACCTGCGAATGGGATGGCTAACAGCCGCATACATGAAGGTGGTGAGCATCACTAGGACTTGGTACAATTGCTTGCTACCTTTATGCCATACCAACGAGGAGTAACCTTCAGGTTCCAACTAATCAAGCGCGGCGCCCAAATTAAAACAGATGAATTCGAGAAGTTTTCGTATAGGTAACCGGTCAGCGAAAATGATGCATACTTAGTGTATGATACTGTGATACGACAAAAAATTCGTTACCGAGTCTTTGAAAGATCAGAGCTCAAAGCTGACGAGTTTGTGGACCGGCCGGATGCACAGGTGCCTGCGATGAGAAAGATCAGTTCATCAGAATTCTCGTCAGACAATAGGAAAGTTCTCTCTGTATACAGTAACAAAAATGCTGCAGAATGGTGTACCCAGTTCTTGGTTGTTGAGGTACTATTGAGGTCGCCATAAAAGGATCACGAGCCTGCCTTGCGACCCAGAGGTTTAGCGTTCGAGCATGCTTGGGGGACAGGGTAACCATCGCAGTATTTTTAGCCCACCTGTGACTGGTGATGTTTGCGCAGTAGCAAAGCGTTGTTACTGTTTACCGACCGTTACAGACCGTACAAGCACTAGAACAAGAACTAAACGGTTAGAGTCGACTTGACAGTGTATAGTTGTAATATAAGGTAATGCAAACGCCGGCGCGTGAAAGAACAAGGGATAAGTCACCGGATAAAAGTAAAAAATTAAAAAATGCTCACGATGAATGGTCCCGAGAAATGGACTTCAGAGTGTACACACCAGGTTTGACCTGAAGTAACGAGATTAATCCGTCATCTTCCATCACTTTGAGAAACGTGCCAACCTACCAGATGGGAAAAATCATGGCAATGTGATAGAGAGAGCATCTTCCACAGAAAAGAATCAAAAGAATCACGTGAATGACTTGAACCAACAAGTGGCAAAAGACCTCTACCCAAAAGTAGTGAATAACCGTGAGTGGGGATACACACACAGTGTCCACTGCTTGATGGTTAGAAAATCTGTGGTATAGTGGTGGTACAGTGTTTGACGTGAAACACGACTTCCAGTCGCCGTTCCCCCTTCACCATTGGTTTGAGGCGTCTCTGCAGCATCACTTCTCACGTATAACTGCGCTTGCAGCGAAGCATCGATATGCAACAGCTGGGATCGGATGACAATTTTTGTTGGTTGGCTCGCGATCCTATGGAGCATTTCAAAGGCGTCTGGAAACGATGCGTTGACTAATGCTTATAACGAAAGCTTTGATGACTGAACCAAAAGTAACACGACTAGTGCGCAATCCAAACACCGTAAACAAGCGGTCGATTCCAATGGCCTGATTACCTGATCTTCAGTTGATCAATGCGGAGCTGATGGCCTCGAATACCGTCAGTAGATTAAAAGCATTACAGATGAGACAAGGAATTTAATCGCAGTACAATTGTGCACCAACCTTTTTGAAGGAGGTCTTTTTGATGTCCAATTGAATGGAACTCGGTCTGAAGTAAGTAGGAAAACCGAATGAAAATGGATCAATGATATATTTTGTCAGGGAATATGAAGCGAGTGATTGTAGAAACGGAAAAAGTAACATCAACGGGCTATACAAACGTGGCGTCGCTGAAGTATGCGTAAACGGTGGAGATACCGTGTTTCAATCTGGCGAGGGAAAGTAGCGTCATCACTGGTTGGGTCGTTCATTTGAAAGTAAGACGGCTGGGATCAGAACCAATGAGACAATGAGCGCTTCAACTAGTTGGATCTGCTCATTAGTGTATCGGTGACCGGTTACTGTTGGTGTTAATTGCAATGAGAGAATTTTTGACATGAAGCTGCGTAGGTGCAGGCGATTTTGTAGTGCCCCGGCCGGCGTGCGGCTGCTGGTATCTGCGTGAGAGAATAGAGCCCGGCTAGGGAATTTCGGCGTACTGTCAGTAACAACATGATGAGTGCGGTAGAAGTATTTGACAGAACAACACAGGTGCCGACGAGACTGCGCACCGCGAATCGCCCAAGAAGTTAGAATTTTCCAATAGGCCGATCTGTGGAAGATGGCCAAAAGGATAATGTGCCTACCTTGTAACCCAAATGTCCCTGGCTCCAGCCTGCGTAGATGAGGGCGACTTCGCGATTGGTGGTGGTCGCGTGGCAACGAAGCATCGGTATGGCGTGTCTGCGTACTTCTGTTAACCATGCGAAGCATTCAGGTTAACGAAGCAGTATTAGGTTGGTGATAAAGTCTGCGGTTCTGTAATATTTTTACTTTAATATCTGTGTTTTCGAATAACCTTCGATGGGTCGCTTTGATCTTGCATATCATTTTGAAGCCTGTTTTGCGCTCTACCTAGTGATGGTTTAGCTCAGAAACACGTTTTTACATGTCAACAGGACATTTAATGCAACATGGACAGAAGACAAATTTGCACAATTTTCTTGTGCACACTTAAACTTGGCCGAAATGCAGCGGAAGCAGCCCATGATAGCAACAGCGGTGCATTTGATGCTGGAACCACTAATAACTGTACTGCACAATGGTGGTTTTGAAAATCTCGGAAGAGTTAAGAGGGGCATGAAGACGAAGAGCATTGTGGACGGCCAATGGAAGTGAACAACGATCAAATAAGGGCCTTAGTTAAAGCGGATGCGCGTAAAACTATTCGATATCTTGCTTCTGACTTATCAGTATCACATGAGACAATTTTAAAACGTTGCCGAGAGATTGGAACGTAGAAAAAGCTTGATAAGTAGATGCCGCATGAATTGAATGGAAATCAAAGGAAACGTCTTTTTGAGGTGTCGTTTACCCTTCTTCTGTGCAATAAAAGCAACATGTTTCTGGACCGGATTGTGATTTACGATGAACAGTGGATCCTTTACGACAACCGACGACGTCTCAATGGTCGAACCATGATCAAACTCCACAGTACTTCCCAAAGCCGAAATTGCAACCAAAAAAGATTTGATAACTGTTTGGTCATCTGCGGGTTATCTGATCCACCACAACTTTCTGAATCCAGTAAAAATCATTACAGTGGAGAAGTATTGTGAACAAACCGAAAACTTCAACATAGGTGCCCGGTACTGGCAACAGATAGGGGCCAATTCTTCTCCATGATAACGCTCGGCCGCACGTCGCACAAACAACCATGCGGAAGCCGCACGAGCTGAGCTACGAAACTTTGCTTCACTCACCATATTCCCCTTACCACTAGTTTACCGATTAACACTTTTCAAGCATCTAGAAAATTGCTTACGAGAGAAACATTTTGAAACTCAAGGAGATTCTGAAACCGCCTTTGACGATCTTATCGACACCAGAACTCCAGAATTTTATTTATCCGGGATAAATAAACCTGGTTCCCGTTGGCAAGTGTATTAAATCACATGGTTTTTATTTGGAGCAAAATGTTGCGTTTGAGCCAAGATGTGTGCAGTTAAGGTTAGAGATTAAAAACGGCAACAAGTGCATTACCAACGTAATACTTATTGCCTAGGATTAAATAGGCCACCGGAACCAAAACCGGAAGCAAAATCGTGAGGGCTACAAGAATCTCCTTAAAATAGATGCAAAACAGTTGGTGCGCTGTTCGGTGGTCCGATCAGACAAGAATGCTAAGATTTGAATGGGATATGCACATGAATGGGACACATGCTGCTAAGCTGAAAGGAAAAATCTTCTGAGAAGTATTAAAGCAGCATACTTTTGAGGCAACACATGTTGAGAGTAGAACACACTGACAGGCATCGGAAGTTGGGTGTCGCTCAATGATCTCAGTGCCAGTAGAAAACATCGTCGGAGAATGGTGTCAAGGTCTGAAATTGAAGAGATGCAATACGGTCAGAATAGTTCGACCAGTTCCGTACAACCTAATGCAGACGTTTAGAAACTTTAATGTGAAATTTTGAAATAAAATGCAAAAAAGGGGGCAGCGTGATCGAAATTGTACAAAGTGCTTCAGAGAGAGAGTGGAAATTTCTAAAAACCACTTCTGTAGAATTTGACAGATGGCAGACGCGACTAAGACACGAAGTGTTAATTGGCCGAATTGGCTGAACATCACCAATGTCGCACTTTGTTTCACTATCGCTAGGCAAAGGAAGCGCGCAGACACATTAGAACAACTGCAGTTTTTAAAGTAAATATGGGCAGGGTCTTTAAATTTGGTCGTGCTTAATGATTCTTGACTATGGAATCTTTCAATACACATCTTCTCAATTGATAATTTTAATTGAAAACGTTTCTGTTTTTAGTTGTCACTCGTCTGCGATGTTAATCTACTCGCACGATATTGTGTAATCAGTATGTGTTTCTACGCATGTGAATTGTGCATTTATAAGAGCTGTAACGATACTGTGTGAAAACATCGTGCTGGATGGAGGGTAGCTTTTCGAATGAAAAATAAATGGAGATGTGAACGTGCCTGTATTGCTTAGCGCCAACATTCATTCGTTCGTTGGGAAAGTAAACGAAAGATCGTGTACAATCTCTTCCAAAAAATTTTCGCCGCTAGACCTCATTAGCTTGCAAGAATTCTGGCTCCACGAAGAAGTGCATAATGTTGTCATATCGGTTGAAGAATTCATTTGCCATCGTGTTGATCGCCCATGCATGTACCGAAACAGAGGTGGTGGAGTCCCTAGTTGCACTAATCCATCCTGATGTATTGCAACAAAAGGCCACTCTTGTGTCTCTTCACCACTGTTTAGTTCTACATTGCCGAGGTGCTTGAGTGGGTACCGCACACCAAGGTTGGCTAACATCTATATATCTCCCACCTATCCTAAACTTGAAACAGAAGATTTTTACGACGAAATTAAGGGCAGCCGTCATGGAATACATTGACCGTACATCATGTATCTTCGCCAGGGAGTACAACAGATTTGATACCAATTTTCTCACCACTCCGGGATTACGGAACATCGTAGCTTTACCCCACCAGATTAGACGCAACCCTGGATCTGGTGTGGCTCTCTGTGTGTAATCGGGCTCAGATTGGCAATTCCGATCATTCGACAGTCAAAAATTTTTCCCGTCATCTATAGCAAAACAAACCAATAGGATATCACTCGCAGAAATGATCGAAAGTTTAGGTTGAGTCAATGCTCTGCAAAAAATATCGAACGAGTTCGTGGAATGGTTGGATCTACTGAAGTTAGTTTACTCTTTGACCCTGAAGTACCCAAGTATTGCGACAACTTGATTGGTTATCTGGATTTCGGTTCTGACATCATCTATCCTTAAGAACCTATACGTCGGCGCTGACAGGTTCGCCTCCCTTCATCTGAAGCGACTATGCCAACTGAAGAAAGCATTAAAGTAACGCACCTTACTGTTTGGATCAAGGAGCCACGTCGAGTTAACCAAATGCATATCCAGTCTATTGCTGTTGAACGTCAGCTGTCGCGAGCTGTGGAGAATGCTGAAACAGCTTAGTGGATTTGCTCGACATGCACCCTGTTTCAATGCGAATGTAGAGGAATTGAACAAGGAGTTCTGTAACTACGATATTACCATAGCCTTACCAGAGCCTTACCCCGTTCCCAAGTTCTGGGTCCGTGAACTCTAACACCTATCGACAGTGCATTTGTGAATAATTTACTAAAACACCTACGTTCCGGTAAACCCAGCGGTCCGGATAACTTATCTTCCATAGTAGTTAAAGAAGGTGCTGACTTTTTGGCAACGTCACTTGCCTCTGTATACACGATGTATGTGCAGCAACGCAAAATCGCTGACTGCTGGAGAAGTGTCAGTATCGCACCAATAAGTGTCGACCTATTACTTACACGTCTGTTGCCCTGAAGGTTCTTGAGAAAATCATTCCGGAAATGATACTGTCCCAACCTCGTTCCAGTGACCCCCTTCAATTCGCTAATCACAGTTCAAGGTCCACTCTAGGTGCAGTGACCTGCCTGGGGCATTTATTACTGCCATTATTTGATAACAAAAATAAATCAGGTCCTATTTGCTTCCTGGATTATGGCAATGCACTCGGCTGTGTAAACCGCGAATTGCTGCTGAGAGATCTACTCATTCAATGAACAAATCCCTTCATTTGCTTACTGATCAAGTAGCTGGATGCACTCAGACTAGCCGACTCCGTGGCAGATGCTCCACCCACTAACCATCAACTCCGGTGTTCTTCAGGGAGCAATCCTATTGCCTTCAACTTACGTCAATTCAATAACAGCTCCCACAGAAGCGACCTTACTAAAATATCCTGAGGACATTGTCCTGCGCATCAATCATCAAACCGTAGATTCTTCACTCAGGCTGCAAAATCATCTGAACGACCACAATACTTGGTACACAGCTCATCATCTGTCCCTTCATGCATCAAAGTGCCGTGATATACTTGTTTCGCTACACGAAGGCGTAAGGTACGCGCAGCTCCTTACACAGTGTCGCAAGCTGTTTAGTGACGACGATGGATTACCCTCTGCCACATCAGTGAAGTACCTAGGTGTGATACAGTTCTATGATTTATCTTGGACTTCATGTAAATGATCATTTCACAAAAGTCAGATGATGGTCTTTCTATGCCTCTCGTCTAACGGCCTCCTCTGGCCTTCGTGAATTGATCCTTCGATTTGTCAGTGCCTGTGTTCTTTCTCACCGGACGTACTTCTCCCCTGTGATTTTCCCCGGTCTTCTAGGTAAGCATTCTAAGTTAATTGTCAGGTCTTTACGGCACTTATCTCGATGTAGCGGGTTTCCGATGCCTACATTTGTCAGCACACTCCTTTCTACGCACACAAATACTTGTAAAAAAACTGGCATCTAAGATATTGGTTGATACTGGTCAACCGCTTCACATCGCTTTATCTGAATATCTGTCAACTTTGTCTACTAGGCATAAGTACAAGCTGAGTTATGCTAGCACACAAGACTACCGCTCGTCGATAATCCCTTATCTTTCGCGTTTTCTGCGAGACCCCAACTCTGTTGTCCTAGACCTAACCAGTCGATTCGCAGTACGATGGCGTTTCTGTCCGTTCTTTATTAAACCTGCAATACTTGTTTATATTCAGGTACATTTCTGAGATCGTGTGTGTTATAGCTGAATATTCACCCACCAAAAGTGTATAGTTTTTGACCTGACTTAAAGCACCTAACAGGGACACTAACTGAATACTGAGAATATAGAGTAAGAAGATAAGAAATCTGTGTGGCTCCATCGTAGGTGAATCGCGAACATGCGCGGAACCACGTCGCTGATTCCTGCGAGGTAGCAGCATAGTGCAGTGGCACTACATCGTATTCGGGTGCGATACGCTCCTTATGGCTGTACTTCGCAAAGTGGGTGTCAAGGAATCACTTAAATTCCGACACCGATTTCGTCTCGACTAGTATCTCCGGTAATTTGATCCAATATTTCACCACTCGACGCTCGAGGCATAGAGAGTGAGTGATGTGCTATAAATCCGGTACCATTAGTTTGTACCCGTGTCTGCGGACGTGCAGCATCAGCCACAACATAGGGAAATGGCCCAAGCGAAGTATCCGGTGTGTCATAATGAGACTAAATCGAAGCCGACAATATGATAGCGTATAAAGCCCTAGTCTCTTACATCGGTCCTCGTGCGACATATTCCGTAAATTGAAAATGAGCCGAGTAGCTATATGCTGGACTCGTTCCAGTCTCTACACAACACCTATTGTGATCGAATAGGTGCGTGAACCGTATTCAAGTACCGGTCTTATCATGGAAGAGAACAGACGGGTGGCAATCTCTTCAGACCAAGTGCAGAAGCTGCGTCTAAGTGCCCAAAGCAGGCATAGTCTGTTTGCGTAGTCTGTTCATGTTATCGACAGACTCCAGACCACAGCGTGAGAGCACGCCTTTACGGAACTAGTGGAATGCAGCAGGTGGCCGGCTAGGGTCTATTACCACCCCACCCCAAGTTCATAAACGAAGACTTGGCCGGGTTGTCCGGTGGGTCGACTTCTGCAGACCGTCGGGATAGGCGGTCTGAAGGCTGCCACAGTCGTTGGGAGAATCAATAATCCCCAAAATCTTCAATTCGTCTGCAAACAATGCACAGGGCGACCGAAGAAGCTGAGGTACTCCGTTGTTGTTGATCAGGAACAAAATGCGCCCCAGTACTGTGCCTTGGGATAGGCAGATAATGGACTGGTACCATTCCGTTAGGTGGTCATCCACCCGAACACGACTATTTTCGCAGTAGTCATCACTTTACAAGCGATTTGCGTTCACTAGCACATACCAGCACCGCCAGTAGGTCACCTCAGTTTTATGATAGGCAGGTTTGTGCATACCGACTGTGTGCATGCAACTCTGACTAATCGGACAGCGAATGAAAATGTATTGTAAACGGAATAATCATTCATACAATGCCTAAATTCGACTCGCCGTGTTGTTCGTTCTCGTTCTCTACTCTGGGTTTCCGGTTTACCCGCACCGGCTCAACCTTGCATATATTGTCCGCTGCTGACCCGAGCAAATCAAACATTTTCTGCACAGAATGAAGCCGCGTCTGGTCCACCGGGCTAACACCAAGCTGTCCATTTAACCCATGCATCTGTGGCCAGATGTATGCTTCATTGGCAGATGTAATTGTGGTGCTCAACAGTCGATCGTCTGTCAGCAATCCATGTGGCTTTTCCGTTAGCCTGGTCCATCAAGGGTTACCGCATAGGCACAGTCCTCGTCAGTCGTGGATTCTAATCAATCCGCCTTCTTTTCGTCAAGATCACAGACGCACGCGGCTTAGGGAAAACCG